TCATGCGTTAAAGCCCACAGAAATAATATAAAGTTGATCAAATTAATTATTAGATGAATAAATAAAATTTGACTCTGCTGTATTTTGCATTTTATCTTTTTCTTTTCTTTTCTTTTCTTTTCTTTAACCTCTGTGTATGATAAGGTGCTACATAACACTGCTTGCTCGTTAAAATCTACAGATGTATTTATTCGCTGGGCTGAGCTGCGGCTCTGTCTTCTCCCATTTCTTCTGTTCAATCCTTCTCCTACCTGACCTCAGTCATTGATCCGTACATTGTAGGACTGGGGGCGTCACGTGACCTGCATACCAGTCGCTTCCTGGAGGCGCGGCTCTACTGCGCAGCTACGGAAGCCGCAGAGTGTATACACAGCTAACCAACAGCTAGCGAGTTAGCTTCCTGAAGATGGCTAGCTGGGGGAAGGTCGCCGCTGTCCTGAGGACCGTTCTGAGGAGCCCTCGGTCTCTGAAAAGCGTAGCAGTGCGCCGGTCGGTCGGTCCTGGTGTCGTGGGCTCTGTAATCGGAACCGGGCTCCTGTGTTATTACCAGTATCACGCCAGCAGCAGGACGCTGCCCTTCGCCGTTCATGCGGAGGAACAAAAAGTAAGAACACAAAGTTTGTGTCGTCGAAGTTGAGCGCAGACGGAGCTGACCGTCGCTCCTCCTGCGTTCTGGTCACTGTCTCATTAAAGCAACGTTTCTCCAAATAGATGGAACAGTGACACATTCGTATGAGTTTGATATTTATAAAAAGTGCGTAAACACTTAGTAATGTGTTTATATCGAGTAGCGCCCCCCAGCGGCCACTCACTGAGCCAGCAGACAGAACAGATGTATGCCTGATGTTTGAAATTATTCATAATCTTCCTCCTCCTGCTTTTAGAGGATACCTGGGCAGGTAGGACTAGAGGGGACTGGGTACCACCTTTGGTCCGCCTCCTTTCTCAGTTAAAGCAGCAGAGAAATATAACGACCAAAGAGTTTAGATTTATTACGTCACACTGGTAGACTTCATGTGTTGTGTTGTTGTATATAGTGTATTTGTGTAGATGTAAAGTAGCGGCTGTCCCTGTAAAAACAAACAAAATGCTATCTATCTATCTATGTATGTGTATACGTTGGGTCACAGTGCTGTTGGTGTCTGTTGTGCAGGAAGCTCCAGCCCCCCAGCTGTCGGCCAGAAGGATCCGTTTCAACCAGTTCGCCTCAGTGGTCTATGAACAGGAGCCCTACATGACCCCCAGAGACTTCTTGTTCTCTGTGATGCTGGAGAATGTCGACCGTAAGCCACACAAACATCCTGCACACTCAGAGCTTAGCTTTCCACGTGCTTCTACACATGCGTCTGTACAGTTCACAGACGTTTGCTGGATTCCCACATCTTCACAGCCTGAAGCATTACCAGTCACCAGACTGCAGCCAAACTAAACAAGTGCTGGAGGTTTAGATTTTTGACAGACACTGTGCTTGTTTTTTTTTTTTCTTTTGAAAAAAATCTGTTTATATCCCGTGTGTATTTCCAAACTCTTCTACCGTCTACGTCACCGACCCTGAAGCTGTTCTGGTTGTTGTCCACCACCAACAAGACTCAACAATTCATCACTCAACTGTACACACAAGACCAGACACACCTCTTTCAAGCATTTCACAAAGACGAAGGGCTCCAGCCTCACCCAAGAAAAGCTGCACAGGGTTGAGGATTGTGGAGAACACAGAGACATGCTTAAGTGTTCACATCTATGGATACAGAGTTGATGGCGTCTCATCAACCTGTCCAGAGCTCCGTATAAGCTGCTGGCCAAACAGCCCCAGCACAAGCCTCCAACTGGCTGCTTTTGCAGTTTTGTTTTTCCAGAACGGGTTGTTGGAACTGTTCAGATACGATGACACCTGAGCTGGAAAGACTGCCACTGGGGAATCAGAATAATAAGAGAAATGGATAATCGATCAAAAACAAAAAACAAATTGATAACAGTGTAGTTGTAAATAGGTTGGTAGCAGCTCTCTGACAGTTCTAAGTCATCGTATTGGTTTAACGCCTTTAGATTGGCATTACGTTTTTTCACTGAAAATACAACAATCCAACCAACCATCGTGGTGAGGTCCTTCCCTTCTTGTTGTCAGTGAAGATCCTCAGTCCTCCAGGTCCTGGTTCTTCTCGTGGATTAAGCGTAGCAGCTGGACCTGCTTGAGTTCCTTGAAGACGTTGCACCTCTCATCCAAGAGACTTCATCAGTTCTGACTGACTGGGTGGGAGATCCAGAGCAGCTCCTCAGGACAGGACTCAGCATCCACCTGCATCTTCAGGACAAAGGACACTCATTTGAAGACAACAACATCCAGATGTTGGCCTGCAGGGAGGACAGATGGTTTGAGAGAGGGCTGAAAGAAGCCATCGAACTGGAAAGACCATCCAACATTTACTTGTTGCGCTTTAAGTACATAAAACAACAAATAACTTCCAGATATATGAAGGCAGAACACATGAGAAGACTTGACATGCTCTGCTGATCTCACGTTTTTTTGCTTTTTGATTTTACAGTTCTTTGTCGTTTCTTCTTGTTTAGGAAAGCTGCAGAAGAGGATTTTAACAACAGAGGTAAGTTTACAGTATGACAGCGTGTGAACTACACGTCTCCTGTGGAGGCACCGGTTTGGGCTAACGGACCCGTTACCTGTTTCATACCTGTGTCTGTAGGAAGTGAACAAAATGCTGGCGGCTGCCTCTAAAGCTCGAGGTGGTAACGATCTGTTCAGGACGTTAGGAGACAACGGTAAGCTCTTCGTCTGTCTGCAGATTGTTTGTTCCATCATCAGTCAGTATAATTGTTGGAGATCTTATTTCTAAATGCAGTCGGTGTTTGTGTCGTCCAGGGTTGCTGTCCTACACAGAGTACCTGTTCCTGCTCACCATCCTGACCAGTAAGTTGCTCCCAGTTTGCCGACACTTGCATGAGCTTGCCTTGTGACCCTCGGCGGTACCGGGCTGAGCGGACCTGCCTGTGATCTCTGTTACTGGACAGTTTATCAACACACCATTTGTTTGATTCTGTTTCCAAATACTAACCCAGTTTACTGACTGACTCGAGCTGTTCTGAGTCCAGATGAATGACAGTGTGTTGCTGTTGCAGAGCCGCGCACGGGATTTCATATAGCTTTCAAAATGCTTGATGTTGATGGAAATGAGCATGTCGACAAAAAGGAGTTTCTCAAGGTAAGACCTGATTGTTTAACGGGAACAACATCATGACACAGATTGTTTCATGTGTGAATAATGGGAGAACACGTTAAACACAGATGTTGTTGTTCTAAATGTGTGTGCACTCAAATGTCAAACTGTCGCCACCTTTACTGCTGCGTCGCTCACCGATGCCACAGCTGTAAGTATGAGACGAGGCGCCGTGTGAAGGTGAGGCAGAGCTGCTCCAGTCTGTTTTACATCTGTTGTGTGTTTGCCCGAGTCGGCCCCTCAGCTCAGACGGCTTGTTTAAAGTCACCTGACATTTTTGTGTCCGTTCCAACCAGACTTGTCCTCTGTGATGCCTTAGAGAAGACCTCTGTGTTCCTTAGTGGAGCTCGGGCCGCCGCTAGTTGTCGTCCCAGTAGGCTGCATGTTGGCACGCTCTGCACCTTGTGTTATAGTTTCATGTTGGTGCACAAGCCTCGAGCATTCAGTGAGAAGTGGAAGTGCATGTGTGAGTTGTAGACGGAGGACACGTCGCTCGTTTGAATGATCTTTTTCGTCCTGAGAAGAGGGAGGCTGCTGTGTGCAGCATTCAACAATATCACCGAAAGGTCGAATGATTGAAAGTTGTGTCGCCTCTCGATAACCGCTGGGTGTTAAAATCATAACAGTGGGACCTCAGTAATGTTTTAGAGGTATCTTATGTAATAAAGGTGCCTTTTGTTGGGCTCCTGCTGTGAACTCTGTTTTTAAAATAATAAATCTGAACGGTTAGTTTTTAATTCTGCTCAAAAGAAAATTCTGTTCAGCTTTGAAGTAATGCGGTTGTTGAGACGCAACACAAACTTCAAATCATTTGAGTGACGTTGCCCAGAAGTGTGGTCTCATCTTTGTGCTGTAGAGCTGTTGTTAAGTTTAAAGTGAGAGAAACCAACACAACCCTCTGCTCTATATTTTTAAGGTAGTGACAGAAACATGTTGTTCAACACGGTGGACTTCACTGCTAAGATGCTAATGATGTGTTTTTGTTTTTTTGCTGATGAAGCTCAAGAAAATCATTGGGAAAGGTAAAATGCGAGTTCCTAAGGACAGTGTAGAGGTGGGTGTTCACATTACCTCCAGAGGACAGATGTTTTCTCTCCGTGTAACGTCTGGATGCTAACAGCACTCTGTGTCTGGATGCTGCACAGAAACCGGCAGAGGAAGGGGATGCTGCAAACACCACGCTGCAGGCCTACTTCTTTGGGAAGAGAGGAGAGAAGAAGCTGCAGTATCAGGAGTTCCGCAGGTGAGGAAGTGTCCTGCTGCTCTGGTTACGTTACAGAGATCCACAGGATCAGTATCGGTCTGCATGTCGACGGCTGGTGTACAGAAAAGTATGTGTTGATGTCAAAGGTTTCAGGAAACCACTGGTCAGCCTTTTCCTTTCATTCTAAAGATCATCAGCACCAAATCCTGTGTGAGAAAAAGGAAAACGTCTATTTTTCTGCTTTTTTTTTTTTTTTAAATTGAGGTTAACAGACGTGTCAGATGTTCTGTAGCTGCCCTTCACCAAAGATCAGCTGTTACCTTTGAACATGCAGTTATGTCCAGATACCAGGTGGAAAACATTAAATCACGTGCTCACACTGACACACATCATATCCATTTGCTGTGACTATGCTGTGGTGTCACTGGACCGCTGAAGCAAGGACAGCAAAGTCTGCTAGAGCAGCCTAAGTTATGGCTACGTGATGTTCATCAAGCATCAAGCTTTTTTTTTTTAAAGATTATTTTTCTGGCGTTTTTGCCTTCATTAGTCAGGGCAGTGAGAGAGTGAGACAGGAAAGGGGGAGAGACCTGCAGCAAACTGTCATGAGCGGGAATCGAACTCACAAACGCCACGCCAGGGAACTATAGCCCCGTTCATGGGTCGCCCGCTCAACCAGGTGAGCTATAGGAGCGCCCACAAGCATCAAGTATTAATGTCGCCACTGTGTTGTAGATAATGACACAAGTGAATCAAACTTTGTGGTTGAAGTCGGACACAAACAGTAAAACTTTACCTCGGTGGATGAACTGTTTGGAGGCTGCAGGTGGATCAGTGGTTAGCACCGTGGCCTCTCAGCTAGAAGGTCGCTGGTTGGCGTCCCGGTGAGGACACCCGGGATCTTCCTGTGTGCAGCGTGGGTTCTCTCCGGGTTCTCCGGCTTCTTCCCACAGAGGGCGATAGATGGATGTTCTGTTTCCTGTCGTAGAAGTCACACTGTTAGAACAGCGGTTGTGGCAAAGATGTATAGAACATGTACGTGAACTTGTCGTGTTGTGGACATTTATCCACACGGTGGCTTTGCAGGGACTTGCCTCCCTTTAGGGAACATGAACATCCATCCATCCATCATCTCTACACCGCTTCATCCTCACTAGGAGTCTGTCCCAGCTGGTTCAGGGTGAAGGCAGGTTCACCTGGACAGGTAACCAGGGGAACCAAACATAAATCATTAGATTTTAGGGTGAAGACCTGGTTCAGAGTTTAAAGGTTCAGGGTTTTTCCTGTATAGAGGAAGTTTTGGCATCCTTCAGAGAGGTTTTATAGACCTCAAAGAGTTCTAGCCAGTCCCAGAGGAAAACCGACAGCGCCAAAATGTTAGAAAACTAAATAATAAAGAAGTATTACATTTTGGTAGTTGGGTTTTTATTTACTGAAACATAAAAGACATTTCTGCTTATGTTATGGTGAACATTTAAAAAATGCGTTGACGTTTTCCAGGTGAAGGACCAGAGTCTGAGGGTGGATCTGGTTTAAGTTGAACAGGCAGTGATGTGTGAAGTGAGGGAACATGACTGGGCTGAGAATCTCGTCACAGAACTTCAGCTTCTGTACAATAATATGATATATTTTATTTTAAAAAGTGTAGTGTTGATGGGAATCGCAGTGAATCTCAAAGCTTCAGACACTCACCTGATTTTGTTTTGTGCTGTTTCACATTCTGAGTCGACTGAGCAGGATGGAGACACCACATCTTCTCTGCTACTTCTTATTCTGTACTTTCCCGTTTATTGGTCCAGAACAGCGTCGGCCTTCGTTGTTTGGACTCGATCAGGTTTCTCTTGAACAAAGCATCGGTTACACCAGCGCTCTGTGTTGTTCAGGTTCATGGAGGACCTGCAGGCCGAAGTGCAGGAGATGGAGTTCCTGCAGTTCTCCAGAGGTATGGACACCATGCGGAGGGAAGACTTTGCCGAGTGGCTGCTTCACTACACCAACGAGGAAGACAATGAAGTCTACTGGGAGAACATGAGGAAGAAGATCCCTGCTGGCCAGGTACTCCCACTGTCCTCGTCCTCAGAATGAGGTTTCATTTGGCCTGAGACTGAACCACATGTTTTCCTCCGTAGAGCATCACATTTGATGAGTTCAAAGTCTTCTGCCTCTTCACCAACAACCTGGAGGATTTCGCCTTCTCCATGAAGATGGTCACAGAAGCCAACCGTCCAGTGGGAATGGGTAACTCCTCTCTGATGTTCAGAGCTGAGCAGCTTTCTGCCAGCGCTGTCTGCAGGCTGGAGATGACTCGGCTTTTCTTTCTGCTAATTTCAGCCCAGTTCAAGCGAGCTGTGAGGATCGCCACAGGCCACGACCTGTCTGAGAACGTGCTGGACACGGTGTTCAAGCTCTTCGATATGGACGGAGACAACTGCCTGAGCCACAAGGAGTTCATTGGCGTGATGAAAGACCGAGTGCTGCGAGGTCTGAAGGTGAGCTCGTCCACCTTCACCGTACATGTCGGGATTCATTAGCTGCAGAAAAAAAACCTGCTTCCTGCTTTTTCACTTAGAAGACAAACACTGGTCACATCTCACCATGAAGCAGAACTAAGATCTTGATCTCCATCCATCAGACTGGACTGACTGTCGTGTCCATCTTCATGTTCAGCTGATACCCAGATGTTTTAACCTGTAGAGCCTGATGGCCTCCAGCTGCTGCCTCAAGTTTTCATATGTAACAAACAGAAATAACCAAACTCTTAGTGAATGCATTTTCCAAAACGTCACATTATTTCTTTAACAAGTTTTCTGAATAAATGAACTCATCAAGTCTGAGGAAGTCTGTAGATCAGGGGTCTCCAATCCTGGTCCTGGAGGGCCACAGTCCTGCATGTTTGAGATGTTTCCCTCTTCCAACACACCTGATTCAAACGATCAGGATCGTTATCAGGCTTCTGCAGAGCTTGATGATGAGCTGATCGTTTGAATCAGGTGTGTTGGAAACATCTCAAACATGCAGGATTGTGGCCCTCCAGGACCAGGACTGGACACCCCTGCTGTAGACAAACTGTGTGCTGTTTGTACCTATGATTTAGTCTTCTGTCCTTGTTCGTAGAGTCCGACTACGTTTCACCGTCCACCAAACCAGTGGTCATATCCTCTCTGTGGCTCTGATTCCTGGTGGCAGAAACATGAATCCTGCTGCTAACAGCTTCAGCTCTCGTTGCTCTCAGGCTGCCGTCTCACCGTCCGTTCTGTCCTCAGGTTCAGCCTCAGAACGGCATCTCCGGCTACTGGAAGTGTGTGAAGCGAGAGACCCTGAAGGCAGCTCAGGAGGCCCTGGGAGACACCGGGTGCCCCATCTGAACCGCCCAGAACCACTACACGACTCAGACCACTGCTCATTTTGGCATCTTATGATCAAAGTGGCGTGGATGAGATTATACCACATGTAAAGGCATTTAGGATTCATACCACTGTCTGGTGTACACATGTTTACAGAGTAATGTTTGATGTTAGCTGAAGATCTGGGATGAGGTTGTGGTGTTTACAATTACTTTTCTATTGTGCTTTTTATACTCAGATTGGCTGAATAAATTCATTTTGCACTCTACAATCACAAGCACTTAAGCAACCCGGCTACAGTCGGCTCGTTTCTGAACCGCTGGAGTGAAAGTGAGGAGTTACACAAACCTGGGTTCACAGCTTCTTGCACGTGCAAAAGAAAAAAGCTTCTGGTGACGTGTGCGTGGGCCTGGAAGGTACCTGATCAGTCAGATTATGAACAGCAGCAGCATCAGTGTCTTCTATTTGATTCACATCAGCTCACGTTGTTGCCAAAGAGAACAGCAGGAGTTCATCTGATCTATGGATGAAAACAACATCAGAATTTGGGAACGTATGCATGTGTTTGAGTTGATGTTCCTCCTGCAGGACCACTGGGCTGGTCAGTGAGGAGGAATGGGATGAGCCAGCAGAGCTCCATATCCTGGTTCCTCTCAGTGATCAGCTCACTGGTTGTTACTCAGCGTGTTTACAAAGCTGTGGTTCTGATTGGTGCAGACTGATACCTTGTGACGGGCTTCTGCTTTACCTGGTGTGGGGAATCATGTTATCGTCCAAATATTTATCAAATAAAGTTTCTATAAAAACACACACGTGAGCCCAGAAGTGTTTTCTCGTTTTAATTTTATTGTAGAATTGACCTGTAGAGATCACACCAGTATGTGGGTTAACCATTGAAGATTGTGATGCTAATTATCTTACCATACATATAATTCAAAAAGTAAATAGACAAAACAAGCTTACCTCTGTGATAGATGAACTAATTAGTGACTGATGCCAAGGTTATCGGTGAATACAGCATACACAGCTACAATACAATAAAATTACATTGAGCATGAAGCCATCTTTGGTCTTCTTATCACTATAAACAAATACATATAAATTTGTATTGTATCAAAAATAGAAATTACATAGCCATATTGAAAGTAAATTCACATTTTTGACATACAATATAAGGAGAATACCTAAGAGACAGACCGTGGGGTTACATTTTTCGCTCCTTGGCTTTAAGGACCCAATGGTTTTTTCCACATTTTTGAACATTCGGTTTTTGAAGGATTGCATGTTTCTGTCAGACCATCTATCAGTATCGACGTCCTGCATCTTGGTAGGACAGGATGTGACATTGAGAACAAAAACACAAATAAAAGACAAATGAGATTGTCGTTCTTAAAAACAAGCGTGTGCTTTCAAAATCCTGGGCTGTTTGAAACGAGGCCTCTGCCGTGCTGGACCGAGGCAGACCCGGTCGGGGCTCAGCGCTCGGCAGCCGAGCCCCAACACGCAGACCCGTTCCTCTCCTTGTGAGTCTTGTTTGTGTCTTTAGTTACCGGACTTTGTGTAGTTGTCCTCCAGGGGTTCAGAGTTATTCTGTTCTTGGAGGCACACGATGAACTGCAGCCAAAGTGGACCTCTGCTTGAGATAATAGGGAAGTGCTTTCAAAGTGTTTGATCCACTGTGGAGAGAGAAGAAGAAGAAGCGTTAGGAGCAGAACAACAGAGGAGTGCTGTGTCCTCCAGCTGAGCCCTGACACTCTGCTGCATGCAGGTGTAGCTGTCTGGAGGCTTTTCTTTACACATACAGGACTGAGCAAAGACTTCAGAGACTGATGTCCATCACTTGACTCCATCTGATTGGTCCCAAATTCGTTCTGCAGCAGAACAATGAGCCACAAAGAGCCACCTTCAGCTACAAGTAGAACAAAGATGGTCTGACCCCCACAGAGCTCTGAGTCGGTCTGGATTACACGAGGAGACAGAAGACACACTAGTTCTCTTGACGCTGGTTCTGCTGGTCTGCCAGGTGCTGTGTACAAACATACTGAACAGAACCGGTACTGTTCTGTCTTTACAGAAATCCGTATGGAACTGAGAAATAAAAACTATTGGTGTCATCACTACTGAAAGTTTCTTCCTTCACTTGTAGATGCTCACACCTCTGCACAGGGCTGCATACGGCAGCCTTCAGGGGACAAAAGTCTCAACAAACTTTCAGGAGTTTGGTCTTTGATTAAAGATGTGCCTCCAGTACAACACATCAGGGATGTTACTGACTCTTATTAGTCTTCTTCAGTTTAAACGATTAGTTTGGTTGATAATGTCAGAAAATACTGACACTGAACATCAAACACCTGAAAGCCCACGCTGACAGATCCAGATGTTTGGTCTGAGATGTTCAGATTAACAGAACATTTGTGACGATGCAACCAGAGGATGCTGCTACCAAAAAACTACATGAACAACTGAAAACAGCGGTTGCTAATCAGCTCTGCAGCACGTTCCAAGATCTGCAGAAGGAAAAATATCTGGTATGAACAAATCAAATGAAAAGGGACATAATGACTTCTTGTATCGCTGTAGACGGTAGGAGGTCCTCAGCTCAATCAAAGCTACTGCATAGTGTTGTAAGGAGGTTAGCATAGCGAGCTAGCCGATGCCATCCACATTAGTTGGGGGATAATTAGTTTTTGTCTGGTTTGTCCAGTTGACCAATCCTGCTGTAAACTGACGTCAGGACCAATCACGTAGTTTATATAGATGCAGGAATTAGAAATACAGAAATAATTCATTAAAGCTAATTTATGGAATGCAAAAATATTAGACCAAATGGGTTTATTTTTTGGTTTCTGTATGTATTGGATGATTTTTTTTGTCTTCATATATACTTTTTTATTTTCCCACATTAAGTTTAAATGAAACATCAATGCTCTGTGGTTGTTATATATATATATAAACTCTTCATGTCAGATTTCACATTCTTCTACTTGCATCTAAGTTTTCAGTCGGCATCCTAGCGAGGCGTCGTGATGCCGTGACGGATGCAAAAGTTCTGTCCAATACACCAACTGGAGCTGACTAAATAATAAAGGAGCTGGAACACGGTGCTGTCTGCTATTCTGCTGTTATGAAATAAATAAATATGGTGGCTTTAAAATTATAGCAACTGATCAATTCTGTTCTAGGCTGACTCGTGGAACATCAGGAGTAGATGTCCACAGTTCTCTGCTGTGATCTTATAAACTCTGTGTACGGTGTTACACCAGGACCGGTACCCAGAAGGCAGCAGAGTCATTCTCACACAGTCCAGCATCAGCCTGCACATTAAGTCAACGCATCGTTTTTCTTCAGAGTGCACAAAGAAGAAAAACAAGTCTAGATGCTCATTTCTAGCACCAGTTCCTCTCTGTAGTTTGGCCTGATACCACATTAGAATCTGATTTCTAACGCTGTGCTGCCAGCGACCAGGAGCCCATGTGCTTGTCATGATGCTGAACACTGTGATCAGACTGTCTTCACCTTTGTACAGTTTGGGAGAGAACACTGATTATTAAAGCTGATCTTAGGAATAAAACGGGACCCTGAAGCTGCTCTAACATTAGGACATTTAAAGCATAAAGTTTTCTCTGGAACTCCTCACTGAGACTTCACATCCTGTCCTGTTTGCTTTGTGTTGGTTTGTTTTTTGTTCAAACTACTTTGGATGGTTGCTTTAAAATGCATTATTGAAGTGACACTATGAGAGAAAGATGCTGGTTCAGTAAGCACATAAACGATGGTTCCTCACCGTCTTACCATTCACCACCACAGGATGGAGACGTCAAGGGTCGTTCTCCTTCTTTACTGTCACATCTCCGTCTCCAGCCAGGATGGTGGAGATCTCTCCCTGCATGAAGGCCCAAGGCACGGTGGATCCAGCCAAGGGGCAGCGCTCTCCGCTGGGGCAGTACACCTCTCCTCCTTGACCTTGGCTTCGGATGAATCCTCTGGTACAGGGGAAGCAGAACTTGTGGTGTGGGACAGATGGACACTGGACAAAGTGAGTGTCCTCCAGGCGCTCTCTGCAGAGGGTGCAGCAGAGCAGGGCGCCCTGAGCACCGCTTGTAGACTCCCCAGCGCTGGCGTTGCTGCTCGGCCCAATCGCACTCAAGCCCTGCCCCATGGCTGCCTGGGAGACTGAGGTGGAGGCAGTGGAGGGGCTGCTGCTGGTGGGACGCCCGGCTGAGGAAGAGTGGGCTGTGGACATGCTGGGGCTATCTCTGGCCATCTGACTGGAACTCAGGCTGTCGGCGACCCCCATGAGGGCAGAGATGGGTGACGGCTGGCTGTGGAGACGGGGTGGGCCCTCTTGAGGTGCAGCCATGCCAGGAAGAGGCTCCATGCCTGAGTAAGCACCTCGGGGCCAGGGCTCCCTTGCAGGATGATCCGGCCTCCCTTCGCTTTCTCCATTCTCAGAGCCCGGAGAAGCCTTGCGACGCCTGGTTGTCCCTTTCGCTGGTCCAGGACGTCCAGCAGCTGCCAAAGGCAACACTGCATCTGGCTGTGGCAGCACCTCTGGGATTGGAGGCTCTTTAAACATACGCACACCATCATTCAGCAGCTCGGACAGCCCGCGCCAGTCTCCTGTGCCTTGCCGCTTCTCATATTCCACATAGCGGAGCCCAGAGTTCACTGCTTTACCTGCATCTTTGGCTGAGTCGCGGAACATCTGCCTGACCAGGTCTGGGACTCCAGCGAAGATCATTCCAGAGCCAGCAGGATACTCCACAAACACCTTCAGCTCGAACTCTGGAGTTGAGCTGGCATCGAAGGCCAGAACGCGACCCATGAGATTATGGTCTTTCCTGAAGCGGACATTAAAGGGGACGCAGCTGCTGAGAGCCACGAGTACGTCCCGCACCGCTTTGGGACGGTTTGGCCAGCCTTCGACCCTGCTCCGAGCCACCTCGTTCAGTTCAGCCATCACTTCATTGGTCCTCCACACTGCAGGGTCTATACCCACCAGAGCAGAGGTGCTGGCCCCCACACCCAGGGACACGGCCTGTCTTCTGCCAGCATCACCCATGATGGGCCCAGCTGAGACTGCAATAGGTGTGGCCCCCGCTCTGGAGCCTGATAGTGGGGCTAAGAGCCCATGAGGGGCCGCCACCAGCCCCTGGGCTATCAGTGCATGGGATATGGTGCCATGCAGCCCGGGGACTGCCCCAGCTATGGCCCGGCGGGTGTTGGGGCTCTGCCGGCTGCCCTCTGACAAGCCCACATCTTCAGCTCTGTGCAGGCCGTTGGGGAGGCGAGAGGACACCCCATACTCACCCCTCCCCCTGTCTACACGCTCCCCGTGCTGCCGCCCCGACTCCATGGGCCCGGAGGAGCTGGGCTTGCCCTGCTGCGGACCGGGGGACCTGCCGTCTAAAACTCCGTGCGTGCTCTTCAGCTGCCTGGCAGTCTCAATGAGGAGCTCTATTCGGTCCGCGCCGTCGTAGTTGACGCAGCCCCGGCACACGGCCTCGCTGAACTCCCACAGCATGGCCCAGGGCATCTTGGGCAGATCGCAGAGGTAGCACCATTGCCGTCTAGAGGAAGACTGCGAGGCGGAGGACATGTTGTTTACAGGCCCGCGACCAAACTTTCTTCGGAGGCCTACGCGGTGCGGTCTACGGTTCTCAACGATTCTTCAGGCGTCGGACAGCATTCGCCACATGCCGCGAATTCTACGACGAAATGTGAACGAAAGGCGAGCTCAGAGCGCGACTGTTTGGGCGAACATTTAAAACTTAGCGACGTCTTCTTTCTCGGTTTGTTCGGTCTGTGTGGAAGGAAGTAAAATGTTATAAGACACCGGAAACACCTACGCGACGGCGGCCGCGGGGCACTCTGGGAGCTGTAGTCCGACTCTCGCGCCTTTGTTTCTTTTCTTTTCTCTACTATCGTGATTAGCGCCGGTGAACGGCGGGGAAAGAAAGCGGCGAGCGGCGGGAGGTGGAACCGGCAAACACAGGGGAAAGGCTGTGGGGTCCGGTCCGGACTGGACCGGCGATAAGAGCAGAGGTTCCGGGTCGGATAGCACCACGCTGTAGCACACAGCCTGGCCGACGGGTTCCATTATTGGTGTCATTAAAATGATTCCTGATCAATAAATAAAGTAAAATAATACCTTGGAAATACTTTTACTCTGTGTCTGTAGTCATCAGTAACAGCCAATCAAATCTTGAAAAGTTCTCTTTTAACTAAACGTGTAAAACATAAACAAAGACATTTGGACCAAGTTTTGTGTTGGAGTTAGTTTTTTTTTTTATTATTATTTAAAAACCATGATTTTCATTCTCACTACATGTGTACACCGGTTCTAAATATCAGTCATCTGTCTCCTTGTTTAGGAATAACTGGTATCAGTACTGGCCCTAGGAGGAAAAAACAACCCATAATGGTCTGCCCCTTTTTCACACAACTTTAAAACCACCAGTATATAAAGCAGACAGTTTTCTTGAGATGTTCCACAGCTACTCCTCCTGTGACTGCACACCAAGACGAACACACAACAGCTGCAAACTGATGCTGTGGTGTCTGGTCTGAGGAAAACAGGCTCTACCTCAAACCCAGAAGGTTTGTCCAGGTACGTGTTCACACTGCAGACCTACACTAAGCTGAGAAAAGATGAAAACTTTGATGGTAATGTAGACAAACTATTTTCAAAAGCAGTTTTCATTTGAGTCGAGAGTTTCGAGTCAACCTGCTAGTCGTGAAGTTCCGATTTAACCTCTGACGTTTCACCTCAGAGTTACAGATTTAGAGGTTTCTCCGTGAAAATAATCCTGTTCTGCCCTAAAACCACAGAGCTATGCTGCTGCTTCCTCTAGAATATCTATGAAGACCCTGCCTCTCTCACCACCCACCAGCTGCAGCTCAGCATACCAGCTCACTTTAGACTTAAGCACAGTAAAACTACTTTACACTACACAATGGCAAGTTGTAATATTGACGTACAGTAATTCAGTTTTTATCAAACCAGAAACCCAATTCTAATTTGGATTGGCAGGACTGGTTCTTTAGGTTTATGATGTCCAAAGCCCTGGAGGTCTCCATCTGTGAGACCGTCATCAGCAGGTTCAAGGTAAAGAGGAAACGTTCAGCCCCGGTGCTGACTGGTAATGTCACTCATTTTCACACCGGGGGAAGTGAAAACGGATCCTTTGAGCTGTTTAGCAGAACACTTTATGAATGTTATAAAGATATTACAGATGTGTGTGTGAAATCCTTAAAATAAACCTACACATAGTGTGTGAGTCTGGAGGTAAACAATGAGTTGTATCTAATGATATATTTAGATGTGATGAAAATAACTCATTAATGCAGAAATATTGATGTGGCTATGTAAGTGTAAAAGGCACATAAGAGAGCAGCAGCTTCTCTTGGTAAGAACTGGCAAACCACTGTCTCTTTATTTCCACGAATGGACCTGAAGAAACGACGATACAAAACACCTCTGACGATGTGAACACCGGTCGAAGCAGCACTCACACCATAGTTACTGCTCACTTTATTTAAAAACCAAAACTTGAGGGTGGCGGCGGTGGCGTTCAGATCTAGTGTTGTGAACGTACAAAACAAACAACCGATTGAAAAAACCTTTGTAAAATAAAATCATTAAAAAAGTATAATTTAAGTAACATCTTCTAAAGCACATTAATCCTAGTTTTTGTCAATACTGTTTTAATGGTACGTGACAACAGAACTGCAGTATACTCAATGCAAAGACACAAAACATTACAAACAGGTTGAGAGGAGAGTATTTAGTTGGCATGGTGTGTGGTAGAGAAACACAACTTGAGTGTGTAAGGGTAAGGCCCACCTAGAAGACACAAGACAGACACAATTAGAAAATGTTCAGGACAGATGAACAACTGTACGCACAGCTTTTATAAACAACAAAACCTGTTGTATTGATGTACCAGGTTAAAGACTTACTAGGGTTTTTCATCTGATAATGGTTCATCATAGCTAGAGCTTCCATGGCGTCGTTGATGGATTCCCACTCAAGCAGACCAGAAGAACTCCGCTCACCTGTTGGGTCACACAACCATCATAAGTATGTGCTAATGGGCTAAAAGCAGGAAGCAGATCACACCTTGGGTTTAGACAAGGAGCTGCCTTTGATTTTCTGTCACATGGATCACGTTGAAGGAGGGGTGGGGATCACACAGTAACTCACAATACTATCATGATGTGTTGCCCATAGCAACCAGGGTGTCATGACTGTGCCACACTCATATACAATCATTTATGATACATCACTATATGTATATGTATATGTGTGTGTGTGTGTGTTTGTGTGTGTGACTGAAGAAGAAAAATTATTGCTAAAACGAAGGGAAAAAAAGCAGGAATTATTCATCAATTTACTGTCAACGGGTAGTTTTCCACTGCAGGAACTTGAGTGCCAATTTAGAGTAGCATGAGCCTTTTGTGCTTTGACCACAAGAACCGCCGCTGTAGACCCTCTATCAGGACTGTTTCCAGGGGTTTCCAGGGCTGGAGGTTAATGCTGACTGATTACATTCACAGGAGACAAATGCTGATTGGCTGAAATCAAGGAGGACAACATCCATCCATCATCTCTACACCTTAATCCTCACTACGGGGGCGGAGCCTATCCCAGCTGACTCAGGGTGAAGGCAGGTTCACCTGGACAGGTAACCAGTCTATCACAGGGCTACACTTAGAGACAGACAACCAAGCACACTCACATTCACACCTACGGACAATTTACAATCACCAATTAACCTCAGCATGTTTGTGGACTGTGGGAGGAAGCCGGAGAACCCGGAGAGAACCCACGCTGCACGGGGAGAACATGGAGACTCCACGCAGGAAGATCCCGGGTGTCCTCACCGGGACGTGAACCGGCGACCTTCTAGCTGTGAGGCCACGGTGCTAACCACTGAGACACCTGCAGCCCTCCTTTCTAACGTCATCATCAACAACATAAAATGATCCACATTTGTATTTACTATGTGACTTTGACTCTGTCGTTGTTTTGGTGCACTTTTAAGGCTGAAAGGGCCGATTACAGAGCTCCCATAAGCTGCTGCAGTGGTAAGGCTCCTCTTATTCGTTTTTCACCACCGTCCATGATTTACCCCGTGACTCTCACCTTCGTCACCCACCCGGTAATAAAGCTCCTTTCACTTTGCTCTGATCAGTTTTTTATATTGCATTTCACTGTCTTAAGCAAATCTGCTGAACCACTTGACTTTCCCCCAATCCAGAAGCCAGAATCCTCATTAATCATCTTAATGACTGCACACTTAAAACAACAGACTGTAAGGCATTACTCACTCTTTCCGGTGAACAGCTTCACACTTGTGGGGCTCTTGATTCCCAGTTCTTCACAGACCTGGAAGGAGAGACCGGCTGCAGTGAAACTCTGAGGTGGTGACTTGTGGAACATCTTTACTTTGCAGACGGTCGCTCCTCTTACCTGGTTGAAGATCTCTGCAGAAATGTCTGGCTGCGCGTTAAAGAAGTGTAGGACGTTGCTGGGGTGCTGGATTCGGTTTTTAGCCGCCTGCTCTGGGGAGGTGAAGCGGTTGTTGCGGGAACCGTGGAAATCTTTGAAGCTGCTGGTGTTGTCCTCTAACTGGTAGCACTGCCCGGGCACAATGGCCTGCTGCTTCGACACACTGCAAGGAAAGAGGCCACACGTCTCACATCTGCATATCCAGCTCCGCATTGTGCATCTTTCTTTAACAGACAATGCTGAATATTTAAAACTGCTGTTACCAAACATTGAGCTTCTGTCCGAACAGGAAGTTGTTGTTGAGGTGAGTGATGGCCCGGTCCACAGAGTAACAGTCTCCCATCTCCACCATCGCAGCTCCAGGCTTGCTCTTCATAAACTTGACCTATGGAGAGAAAAAAAACAACAACTGACTGCACGCATGTAAAATTAACGATAGTGACGTCTTTAAGCTTAAGACATCAGATCAATCAAATGAATCAGTGACATCTGACTTCATGGATAAGCTGAGAAAGTCATCAGTTATGGTGTCTATTCATTCATAACCGTAAAAACAACAAAAAACAGAGCAAGGACTTTAGATGGCATTAAGATCTCCAGTGTGTAAACATTTAAACAAAAACCACCTAGAACCTGTACGGCGTGCAGAGAGTCGGCGTTCTTTGCCGAGCATCCCTTGACTCACCCTCTCCACGTTGCCGTAGAGACAGAAGATGTTGAAGACTTTATCCGCATTGATCTTGGAGGGCTCCAGGCCATACACCATGAGGACCGGGGAGTCGGCATGAGGACCATACTCCGGCGGCGGCGGTCCATATCCAGGACCGTAACGCTGGCTACCCCGGCCACGCCCACCCATACCTGGCCCCATGCGATGGGGAGGAGGGGGGCCGTAGCTGTCGTCATTGTAGCCGTGATAACCTCCTTGAGGGCCACCTGTAGCAGAGGAGAAAATAAATCTTTGTTCCAGACAGTATTGGAATGGACTCCACACATCACACCAGTTTGTTGACGGGGTGGTTACCATAGTCAGGGGGGTGGTCGCCCAGGAGAGCCGGCTGCCTCTGGCGCTTGTTGGGGTTGGCGTTGGGATCTAAAGCGGTAAAACAGCAGCACATCACAACAGCTTCCTGTCAGATGCCTGACATGGGCTACTACATGCTACGGGGGTTTGTGATCGGCATGCAACAGAGGGGCCTGACATCTGGTTAAAGAAGTGTTTACAAGTCTGCAGGCTTTAGTTTGCTAATGTAATAAGAGGTGACATAATGGAGATTTTCTTTTTAACGGTGATTTTGTAAGATAGCTTTAAAACA